CACATATACAGGCATACACAATAACACACAAATATACATACAGACACATACACATACACAGTCTTTTTGATTATAGATATACATATACACATTCGCACACAATTACACGTGCACATAATACATACACAAATATACATATACACAATCGTCACCCACACACACACACACACACACACACACACACACACACACACACACACACACACACACACACACACACACACACACACACACACACACACACACACACACACACACACACACATTGACACAATGACACATACACTCGCATACCAATACACGTAACCATAATACACGCTCACTGTTAAAGCTATTACATTAGGTCCTAGGTTCTTAATGAATATATATATATATATATATATATATATATATATATATATATATATGTGTGTGTGTGTGTGTGTGTGTGTGTGTGTGTGTGTGTGTGTGTGTGTGTGTGTGTGTGTTTATCTATTTATAAGCATTTATATATATTTTTTACTTTTTCAGGAAGAATGATTAACTAAAAGCAAACTCATTATTTAAAGATCCTGAACTGACTCTCGTAAGTGAACAAACCTGAAAATCAAAACACTGAACAACGCTCTCAACAACAAATAAATTAATGAACAAATAACTTAGTTAATCAATCAGTTAATAATTGAATAAATAATAGAAAATGTAGAACTCAAAGGCTATTTATACTATCTTCATTTTCTTGACAGAGATCTCTTCACACGCAAAGCTGTTTTTATAAGTTATTCATGTGGACTCGGCTAATAGTTCTAAACGCAACAGTGTAACTAGTGGTTGAGTTGTTCCAAACTTACCGATGATCTATGGCAGTGTAACAATGTCTTGATGGTGCAATTAGTGTGGTATATTCATCAAAAGCGATAATCGTAGTTTCGATAGACTTGGTTATATATATATATATATATATATATATATATATATATATAGAGAGAGAGAGAGAGAGAGAGAGAGAGAGAGAGAGAGAGAGAGAGAGAGAGAGAGAGGGAGAGAGAGAGAGAGAGAGAGAGAGAGAGAGAGAGAGAGAGAGAGAGAGAGGAGAGAGAGAGAGAGAGAGAGAGAGAGAGAGAGAGAGAGAGAGAGAGAGAGAGAGAGAGAGAGAGAGAGAGAGAGAGAGAGAGAGAGAGAGAGAGAGAGAGAGAGAGAGAGAGAGAGAGAGAGAGAGAGAGAGGAGAGAGAGAGAGAGAGAGAGAGAGAGAGAGAGAGAGAGAGAGGAGAGAGAGAGAGAGAGAGAGAGAGAGAGAGAGTTAGATATAGACACATCAGCATAGATTCGTGTCATTATGCCTATCGGTTGAAATGACCACAACTTGATGTACCAAAAAGTATAACAAAAAATATACAAAAAGTAAATATCAAACAACCATGAAAATATATATAGCTACAAACTTTTCCCCAATCCATATGGCGGCCATGCGGTTCTGCATTATCTAGTCTACAAATACAAATGGAGCTTAAAGACAGTTAACAACATCTGGGACGTATAATGAACAAATATCGTAAGATAGCGGTACACTCAAAACATTGCATTTTGACGGATCAACACAAGTTCTATATCGGTGATTTTTTTTTCTTTTTTTTTTTGTGTTCAACAGATGTCGAAACGAAATGGTTGTGGTTTCGGAGGTAAACAATATGTATACACGCATATGCATACACACTTAGACACTTACACACTCTCATTCTCACATACATACATGCAAGCACATATGGTAGAAAAAAAAACAATGTAAAAACTAGATTTATTGAAAATGAGACTATAGTTTCGAAATCCACTCGGATTCCATCTGCAGAACACAAACACGTATACACACTTGTACACACAGACGTAGATACACACACACACACACACACACACACACACACACACACACACACACACACACACACACACTGTTTGTCTAACCCATCCATCATCCAAGTAAATGGCCAGCTATCATTGTAACATTAATACACTTTTACGGGAGCACAGGAAAGCACAGACGTGGTTGTTGTAACTGTAAATGAGAGAGGGCTGGTCTGCAGAGTATGGCACTTTTCGACGAGATCTGCGGTGTGCGAAGGCAAAACGCTCGGTGTGCTGGACTGCACCACCAGGCGTTTTGGTGGGCTGGTGTAGCACCGGCGAAATTCTGTTGTTTATTTCCCTGATCTGAATTCGGATAAAATAAGACCATGCAATCTCGTAAGAAATGTTCATGTTTCAATTTCTTTTCAGACAAATGTTCCTTTTTCCGTGATCTTCGAATAGATTATGTTTCAGCATAGGTTGTCTTTAGCCTAACTCATTATTTATACCACAGGTTGGGACCAAAGAGAAATGTTTTTTGTCTGAAAGATTTTCTCACTTGAAAGGTGATGAAGAAAAAACATCTGCTGAACAATTTTCAGGTCAAACAATTTTTACCCAACTTCTACTTTATACATAATTTCAACATTAAACCACGAAAATTGTGAATGAAATACCTTCATGTTGTTATACGTTTGGGGGGTTTCTGATTATTTATATCTAGTTCTGTTTACCCCACCATTGAGAATTGAACATTTTGATTTACCCAACCTCTGATCCATTAAAAAAAATTATTCAACCCATTTCTCTTTGTACCAATTTGAGACATGTCCTATGGCTACATATGAAATTATCGTTATACAATAACACAAATTACAGACTGCAATGAAACGTAAGATTCAATACTTATAGATTATTTTAGACTGTGCTTGATTTCTGACTGAGCCAGCCCTGATCACTAGGATCACGCCCGCGTATGAACTTTTGGTTAACCACACCTAAAACCTTATCGGTAGCACACTAGCTTTAGGACAAAAATATCTTCGCTGTGCACATGCTGGAGACTGGAGAGAGGGCGCGACAAAAGCTGTTTCATCTGATCAACAAGCTGGTTATATTTAAACAGAAGCACGGAAGGCGCCTGTGCTGTCTCGTTTCGTTAAGCCTTCCCTATATTTGATAAAGGTGAATCAGTATATGAATGTATGGTAGAAAAACCCACAGTACACAAAGTAGATAAACTAAAAATGAGACAACAGTTTCGAAATCTTCCTGGATTCCATCTTCAGGTTGGTCTCATCTTTTAATTTATCTAGTCTGTGCATTTTGTTTTTTGTTTTTCTACCATAGTATCAACACGGAAGAGTGTTTTACTATTCACGTGAACATATATACATATACATACATACATACATACACACACACATACACACATACATACACACACACATACACACATACATACATACATACATACATACATACATACATACATACATACATACATACATACATACATACATACATACAAACATACATACATACAAACATACAAACATACATACATACATACATGCATACAAACATACATACATACATACATACATACATACATACATACATACATACATACATTTTCTTATTCATTCTTTTACGCTCTGTTTGCTCCCCGGAACCCAGTCCCTTATAATTCATAAGTGCAATTTCTAAATGCATAATTGGCGTTTGGTTGTTACTGCAATTGTTTGTTTTGAAGACGCGGTCATCACACGGGATTTTTAGAAAGAAAAAAAAAAGTAAAGAAAATGAGAGGCATTTAATCCCCATGTGCCTTCTGTTGCCGCAGAGAATTTGCTTCATTTGACTCAAATTCTTTGAGGTATTTTGAAAGAGGGTGGAGGGGGGGAGGAGGAGGAGGAGGAGGAAGATGATGAGGAGTAGGAGGAAGAGGAGGAGGAGGAGGAGGAAGAGAGGGAAGAAAAAGGGAAGGGAGAGAAGGAGGAAGAGAGGGAAGAAAAAGGGAAGGGAGAGAAGGAGGAAGAAGAGGAAGAGGAAAGAGGGGAAGATGAGGAAGAAGAGGAGGAGGAAAAAGGAAAGGGAGAGAAGGAGGAAGAAGAGGAAAGAGAGGAAGAGGAAGAAGAGGACGAGGAAAAAGAAAAAGAGGAGAAAGATGAGAAAAGGAGGAGGAGGAAGATGAAGAGGGAGGAGGAGGAGGAAAAAGAGAAAGAAGAAGAGAGGAAGAGAGCAATAAGAAATAACAAAGATAAACTGAAACAGGAAGAAGGTACGTAGAAGAAGAAAAAGAAAAGAAAAGAAAGGAGATGATAATGAATAAGAAAAGAGGAAAAAGGGATAGGAAGAAATAAGATAAAAAAAAACACAGACAGACAGACAGATGTTTGTTTCTTCATTTATTTATGTAGAAGTAAATGAGAGAGAGAGAGAGAGGGAGAGAGAGAGAGAGATGTATAGAGAGAGAGAAAGAGAAAGAGAGAGAGAGAGAGAGAAAGAGAGAGAAAGTGATAGAGTGAGAGGAATGGATAGATAGATAGAAAGAGAGGAGTATGAGAGAGAGATAGACAGATAGAAAGAGAGAGAGAGAGAGGAGAAAAAGACAAAGAAAACTTTACAAAAAAGATTCTTCGTTACAAAGAAGTCACCGGAATTACTGTAAAACCTCGTGTGCGAAGTATATCACTTACGCAATCATGTTACGGTACTGTTACTGTGCTCGGTCAATTATAGGCACCCACTCCCCCTTTTATGAAAATGTTTAAGTCATTATGATTCGTTTATAACGTTTCTTTCACGTGTACTTTTTTCCTGATTTTTTTTGCTCTCTCCAAAGATATATATTCTTCAATCTCTATACTCCTGTTAACATCGTCTCTACCTTAGATAATATCTTTAGAATAATCAGTATGATATTTTCTTATTATCATACAATCACACTATATAATATATAAATACAATTGCATTTATGTGTGTCTCTGTGCATGTGTGTGTGTACACGTATATAAATACATTGATATATACTGATTAATTTTAATACATTCAGCGGCGATGTATCTATTAAACCCAACCAGTAGTGTCTATGTAAAGATTTATTTGACATATTCATAAATCATACAATTCTGAATACAATGTACTTCAACATTTTGTACAGCGTTGACCAGTGTTACAGCTCATCACAGGTAATAACCTCAGCACCTTTAATTGGATAATAGAGGAGTCTGAACAGTCGTGTGACACCTGTTGCAATCTCATTGATCAGAGACCAAGATATCCAGGTTGAGAGATGAATATCCGTGGATATATCAAAGAAAGGTTTGTGGATAATTTGAGGTTAATATATCAGTAAGGGAAGGGGGTTTCTTTAAGTACGAATATAGTCCTGAAACCTTAGGTCTACCGTTCGTTCCTTCGGTAAGTGAAAATGTGTATCACTGTTGTTCTCTGTTATGCCTAGTGTGTTACAGGATTTTATGGTGTTCTGTCTGTCTGAACTGTGTTATTTCCCCCCTTTTTGTTGTGTTATATACTAGATAGTATTTCGAACAGAATCCAATGGTATTTAGTGGTCGCAAGCAAGGCGTATCTATTGGCGAATCAGGACGTGGTCGGCTCGTATTGGTGTGGGTCTTTGGTTTAGTACATATCAGTGTGAGTACTGCAGTTGGGTGTGTGGAGATTGCAGTCTTCTTCTAGTGATTTAACAACCACAACACTGCAATACAGTGAGTTCCAGGGCAAAGGGTTACTCCACACACACAGACACACACACACATACACACATACACTCATATCTTTACAAACGAAACCAGGTATCCATATATTTCGGTAAAGCAAACACAATATAAAGAGAGAGATATAAAATTAGATATAATAGATATAATAGATACTGCAATACAGTGAGTTCCAGGGCAAAGGGTTACTCCACACACACACACAGACACACACACACACACACGCACACATATATATGTATATACACTCATATCTTTACGAACCAGATATCCATATATTTCGGTAAAGCAAATACAGACTAAAATCATACCTTTATTGGATTCAACATCTGAATAATCACATACAACATATGCTTTACCTGAGTACATGTCTGTAAACCATACTGTAATTTCTAAATACAGGTATATAATTTGGTGATATCTTTATATATAACCTCTCGTATTATTTCTTTATCTCTATCTATATTCTTTATCTCTTTCCTCGCTCTCTCAAACAAACAAACACACACAAAGATAAAAGGCAAACACACATAAACGCAGTACTATGCTCACTGACATAATCACACACGCAACCACGAACATCATTCACCACAGTTTCACTATACCGTACTCCACCGTCTCACTATACCGGATTCTAGCCTGCCACTATACCATATCCCACCTTCTCATTATACCACACCACACCCTCTCACAATATCATATCTCACTCTTTCACTATACCATATCTCACTTTCTCATTATACCGGACACTACCCTCTCACTATACCCTACCCAACCTCACTATACCCTACCCAACCTTCTCACTATACCCTACCCAACCCTCTCACTATACTATACCACACCCTCCTCTCACTATACCGCACCCTGTCACCATACCGTCACTATACCCCACAAGCCGACACAGGGACTTCAGGACTAACGAGACCCTCCACGCCCAAAGATAGTGCAAGACCGAAGGCAAAGGCTCCCACCACGAGGTATAGTGACCCGACCAACACCATCCCACGTTTTTTCCAGATGTCCGAAGCGACTTTACGACTCGGCACGAAATCGTCGGCGACTTGTAAGAGACACATACCTGAAAAAAAGGGAGTTGGAAATTAGTCGTTTGTGAGAATGTGGTTTTAGTGCGGGTGGTAGGGTAGGCAGGCCTATATGAAAGGTATTATGGTGATGGTGTGGAAGGTAGGGAGATTTTGATTGATTGGACTGACTATTTGAAAACTTCATTGATTGATTGATTAATTGATTAACTAATTAATTGATAGAGAGGTAGATAGATAGGGTTAGAGAGATAGAGACATAGATGGATAGAAGAGTAGATAGATAGATAAATAGACAGATAGATGGACAAGTAGATAGACAGATAGGTGTGGGGACAGACAGATAGATAGCGAGATAGAAAGATAAATAAACACACACATAAATTAATATGTATTAATTTCATTTCTCTCTGCATAGACTAATCTCCTAATAGCACACAGTCACGACGAAGCAAAGAAATTGAAAAAGGTCATAAGCAAAGCCAATTGTTAAGAAAAAGTCGTTTTTCTATATATCTCTCTGTCTATTTATCTATATATCTGTTTATATACATACAAGCATTTATATTTATGACATAAGCAAAGCCAATTCCTAAGAAAAAATAGTCGTTCTTTTCTATCTATCTATCTATCTATCTATCTATCTACTTATATGTTTAAATACATACAAACATTTACAAATACACGAGTATACACCTACCTACCTACCTACCTGTTTATATGCATACACATAATTCCATACACACGAATCCATATACAATTCACAAAGTCATTCCAGGAACAAACCAACTCACCAGGAAAGACGAAGATGAACAAAGCAGCCAGAGAACCGAGGATTTTCATGACGATCCCGATGTTAGGGAGGAAGACAGCGAACAGGACGGTGAGACTCCATAACGCTATCGCTATCAGCTGTTGGTGAATGAATGAACGGGTGAGCGGAAGGGATGAATGGGTGGGGAGTAAATGGAGTAAAATGGAGTGAATGGGTCGATGGGGGGGGGGGGGGTATGATGGGATGTTAGGAGGGAAGATAGGATGAGGATGAGGAGGAGGAGGAGGAGGAGGGTAAAGGTGAGGAGGAGGAGGAGGAGGAGGGTGATGATGATGATGATGATGATGATGATGATGATGATGATGATGATGATGAGAAGGAGGAGGATAATGATGACGATAACAATAATAATATCAATAATATCAACAACAATAACGATAATACCAAAAAATAATCAACAATAACAAAACCAACATCAGCACATCACTTCTCTCCACATGAATTTAACTAATATGTTAATCCCATTTTCTCTCCGTTTTCGAACATTAGAAGCCAAAAAAACTAAGCAAAAAACATGAATTGAAAGGAAATTAATTACCTTTCTCCTCGTCGGCTCCCCCTTCTCGGCGGCTGATTCCGGGAGAGATCGGACGCGGAGATACATGTCGTTTACAGCCTCCCTGGGGATGCAAGGAATCATAAGAAACACAAGGCGTTATAAGGGATTTTAGGGGAAAGAAAGGAATCATAAGGTATAAGGGATTTTAGGGGAAAGAAAGGGATCATAAGAAACACAAAGCATTATAAGGGATTATAAGTGAAAGACATTGATCATGTTGAATATAAGGCACAAGGAATTATGGGGGAAAGAAGGGGATCATAAGAAACACAAGGCATTATAAGGGATTATAGGAGAAATAAATGGTTCACAAGGAATACAAGACACAAGGGATTATAGGTAAAAGAAGATCATAAGGATTATAAGGCATCATAAGGGTTTATAAGGGAAAGAAAGGGATTACAAGAAATCCAAATCATAAGGGATTATAAGGAAGACAAGGTATAAAGGATTATAAGGAAAATAGTAATTGGAAATCATATAACTTTATAAACATATATAAGCTTGAAGAATTATGAGAAATAATACAGAATTGTGGAATCGTACAGAATTATAAGATTACACACAAAAAAAATTATAGTGAATTACAAAAATGTTAGGATACGAAGAATTACATAGAAGTACCTGGATGCCATAAACCACAAAACATTTAAAGTTCACAAAGAATTATACTAAATTACCTCATACGAACCGCTACCTCATAACATAACTTTCAAAACTAAAAACAGATAGACCATTGACAGAGACCATTACCTCGTACAGAGAAAAAACTACCTTATACAGAGAAACCTCATACAAAGAAACCTCATACAGAGAGACCATTACCTCATACAAAGAGAAAACTACCTCATACTGAGAGACCTTTACCACATGCAAAAAAAAAATATTTCTTAAATAAAAATCCTGCAAATACGACACATACAGACGCATACCTCATACAGAAACAATATTTCATAATAGACCATTGCCTCACACAGATACCACTATATTTAAAGACCTCATATAGAAACCACTACATTTAAAGACCTCATATAGAAATCACTACATTGAAAGACAACATATAGAAACCACTACATTTAAAGACCTCATATAGAAACCACCAATTCATATAAATAAACTATTACCTCACACAGAAACCACTGATAAGACTATATACGAATCACTACAGAAACCACTGCGTCATACAAATAGCCTATTACCATATACAGAAACCACTAACTCACATAAATAATTCATTACCCCAAACATCTCTTCGTGCAAGAACTTATACCTCATACAGAAACCGCTATCTCTTGTAGAAACCACTATTATATACAAACGGATCATTATAGCATATAGAAATCACAATCTCAGCCAAAAAAAACACTACTTCCATGCTGAAACTAGTGCCTCATGAAGAAACCAATCACCATTACCTCATACAGAAATAGATATAAGTAGAAAATCACCTCATAGGAAAACCATTATGTTGGATACAGCTATAAATAGAAACCCTTTCCTCATAGGGAGACCTCTACCTCATAGAAAAAAACTGTTATCACATATGAACAGATCCTTCCCTCTGGCAGAAACCACTACCTCATATATAACCCAACACCTCATACTGAGAAATCATCCCCTCATACAGTGCCCAACACCTCATGCAAATGACCCCTCACCTTATGCAGAACTCATTACGTCATTCAGACCCCACCCCCAACATACAGAACTCATGACCTCATACAAGACTTCCCGGGCCTCCTTATGCAAGTCTCCCCGGGCCTCCTCATACAAATCCCCGCCCCCAACACTCATGACCTCATACAAGACTCCGCCTCCTCATACAAACGCCCCGCCCCCCAACATACAACACCCACGACCTCATACAAATCCCCCGCCGCCAACATACAGAACTCATGACTTCATACAAAACTCCCCGGGCCTCATACAAACACCCCCTCACCTCATACAGAAGAGTAAGATCGGGTAGGTGGTCCACGACTTAACCGCCAGGAGCACCACAGCCACAAGGACCTGAGGACGCCGAGCTTCGTAGGATAGAAGGACGTCCGTGTTGACCAGCGACCCGAAGGTGAGGAAGCCGTAGTTCGCCGAGAATGTGTACACTAACAAGCACACGACGATGGCTACTGTGCAGGCCTGTGGGAAGGGGATTGTGTGGATGGCGTTAGGTGCGTTGCGGGTATTGTAGAGTATGTTATTTGTACTCGGATTGTGTTTGTCTTGTGTTGTATGGATTATACTGTATTGATATTAAGTTTATTATATGTTGTGTTACTTATAGTGTATCAATTGTATACCACATTGATTATATTATAATGTATTTTATCTATTTGTACTGATATTAAGTTTATTATGTTGTGTTACTTATAGTGTATCAGTTATATATCACATTGATTATATTATAATGCATTATATCTATCATATATCATATTACTTTTACTGTACGTATATATATTGAACAATATTGCAATGTAATGTGCTAATACACAGTAAATATTGCGTATATTGTTTGTACAGCTAGTCTTATATTCATGGTAATGGTGTTATTAGTACTAACGATGTGTTTTAGGAGGCCACTTTATATAATTATATATATATATAGTTTTGAATAGGAAAAAAATGTATTCCATAAGTTACTTACATGTCTTAGAATATATCTAATAAGTTATTACTGTCTGTTATTAGTTATGCCCTTCACAAGTGTATTTTAAATACGTCCCATATGGTAATTATGCATTTCAGAAATAATAAATATTTTCCTAATGAGGTTATCACCAGTTATCAGCACTCTGATAACGTGATATAACTGTCATATATTTCTATCTTTCCACACTGCTCAAGTATTCTTATCCCCTTTATCAATCTTATCAACATCATCCCTTTACTTATATCAAACTTATACTTATATAGATACTTATGAATATTTTCATACTTTTTCTTATGCTACTTATATGTACACTTCTACTTTTACTTGTACTTATTTTCATCCTTATCCTCATTCTTACTCTTATACTTATACTAATTATATCCTATACTTATATCCAAACATATTTTTTAATCCTCATCTTCATCCTTATACTACTAATAAACCCACACATCTACATAAACCTATACCTACATGATATCCATCCTAATCTGCCATTTAATTTCCACACACACACACACACACACACACACACACACACACACACACACACACACACACACACACACACACACACACACACACACACACACACACACATATATATATATACTAAACTCTACCGTACCTTCCACGTTGATTTGGCTTGGCTCTGCTTCACACACGAGTAAATTGGCACGCTGCTGATGTGGCACTGATATCCGAAGCAGATGGTTGGCAGGACGTTAAATATCTGCAAAATGAAGAGGATAATGAGGATGTTAAGAATGGTAATTAAGGATTGAGGTGAAAATGGTGGGAGTGTTGGTAATGATGATGACGATGGAGACTGTAATGATAATGATGAATAGAGGAAGTGTGGTAATAATCATTATAATTGTTCTTAGCATTGTCAATATTATTATTATTATTATTCTTGCTCTCCATAATTGATAACAACAGTAAAAGCATAAAACAACAATAGAAAAAAGTGCAGTTAAGATACCGTGCACCAATTAAATCTGATGCACTGAAGCAAATACAGCGACATGCACACATGAACAACAAAATAAATAAATAAACATACCTAATATTAGTAAGATCATACAACGACCTACACAACACCAAAACAAAGTTATAATGATAAACAAATAAAAAGATGAATAGATAGATAAGTAGATAAAATATATTAACATACCTGAACCCAATCTGCTTCATAAATCTCAACATGAACAAAAAAAAACATATCTAACTCTACACCCCCCCCAAAAAAAAAAAATATATATATTAATAATAATAATAATAATAAATAAAAATAAAAAAGATAAATAAATAAGAATAAAGAAAGAAAGAAATAATCGATATACCTGAACCCAATCAGCATCCTAAATCTACACCCCCTCAAATAATAATAAAATAATAATAATAATAATGATAATAATGAAAATAAAAATGAAATAATAATAATAATAATAAAAACACTAATAAGACTGAAAATACTAATAATGAAAATACTAATAAGACTGAAAATAAAAATAATAAAATAATAATAATAGTAAAAATTGAAATAAAAATAATGAAAAAAATAATAATAATAACAATAATAATAACAAAAAAATGATAATAATAATAATAATAATAATAATAATAACAATAATAATGATAATAACAATAATAATGATAATAACAATAAAAACATGATACTAACAACAAATAAACAAATAAATAGACAAAGAATCCACATACCTGCACCCAGTCCGCCTCATAGATCTCCAGCGACCCTCTCGCATACCCTCCAGTGTAATATTCTTCAGTTATTATTACTGTTACGTAGAATATGGTCAGGACTCCGGCGTAACTGAAGGGAAAATGTACGAATAAAATAGGTAAAGAGAGACAGAAAAATATGTATATAGATATATAGATAAATTGAAGGTAAAGGTAAATGGGTAAATGAAGAGAGAGAGAAAATATACATATAGATATATAGGTAAAGTAAAGGTAAAGGTAAATATGTAAATCAGGAGTAACAATTTAGATAGATAGATAGATAGATAGATAGTTTTGAATAGAGAACTATGAATTAGATATTTCGTGCATGGTGACGTCATTAAGCAGTCACTCATTAAATCAGTTATTATCATTATCACCATTCATTTTTTACTTGTAAAGTAATTGTTCATTATAAGCACTATAAATACCTTCAAGCATTATAACTATCATCATTCGCTGTAAATATCGCTATACATATCCCCTGTCACCATTCTCAACATTCACCATACTCATCACCACTCATTATCTTTAACATCACCACACGTATCACACTCACCATCACTCATGACAAACACTCACCAGCACTCACACGCTCATCACCACCAATACTCATCACCTTCACCAAACACTTACCACCCTCACCGACATTCACCACCATTCATCACCCTCACCACTCACCAAACTCATCCCCACCACTCACACACTCATCACCACCAACACTCACCACACTCATCACCAACACTCACACACTCATCACCCTCACCAACATTCGTCACCCTCACCACTCAAACACTCACCACCTTCACCACCAACACTCAACACCCTCACATACCAACATTCATCACCCTCACCACTCACCAACATTCATCACCTTCACCACTCACCACCAACACTCACCACCCTCACCACTCATCACCTTACCTCAGAAACCTCAGTGCATCCATCCTCTTCAAACATGACGGGAAAATGAGCAGAATGGCCGAGGCTGTGAGAGTGAATTTTCTGTTCATGAACCAAATTGTACAGAAGTCATTCCCGGCGAAGGAGGCGAAGGCTGGGGGGGGGGGGGGGGGGACGGGAGAGGGAGGAGAGAGGGGAAGAGAGTTGTAGATTATAAAAAATATTGTGGTGCGGTTATGATGTAGTGTGATGGGATAAGGTGATGAAAATAGTAATATTAATAATCATGATAATAACAATATTAATAGTGATAATGATGAATGATGAAAACACTCTACCGTGTTGATACTATGGTAGAAAATCCCACAATGTAAAAACTAGATTTATTGAAAATGAGACGACAGTTTCGGAATCCAGACCTGAGGATGGAATCCAGGTGGATGTTAAACAATAATTGCGATAATAATAGTAATAATGATAAAATTAATAAGAATAAGAATAAGAATAATAGCGATGATAATACTGATAATAATAGTGATAATAATAGTGATAATAATAGTGATAATAATATTAATAATTATAATAGATAATAACAATAATAGATAATAACAATAATAGATAATAACAATAATAGATAATAACAATAATAGATAATAACAATAATAGATAATAATAATAGATAATACTAATAGATGATAATAACAATGGTAATAATACTAATAACCCCAATAATCATAATGAGGATAGTAACAGTAAAAAGTCATAACACCTGTAAATAACATACATCTATATCATACCAACATTACAGTACATTCCACCATGAAAGAGAACGACAGACTTCAATAATGGAAAATATCACACACCGGAAATGACAGTGGCTCTTGCTAAGTCATTTTGAAAGAAGAGTTATTGGTAAGAATTGTCAAATGTAGGTAGCGATAAATTGAGGCTAGGGAGGTTGGCGCGGCGCGAGAAACAGAGAGAGGGAGACAGAGGCTGAGAGAAAGAAGGAAGGGTAGAGGAAGGGGGGGAGATGGAGAAGGGGTAGAGGGAGGGGGGGAGGGGGAGAGATTAAGTGAGATTAAGAAAGAGAGAGAGAAAGACAGAAAGATAGATTAAAAGAGAGAGAGAGAGAGAGAGAGAGAGAGAGAGAGAGAGAGAGAGAGAGAGAGAGAGAGAGAGAGAGAGAGAGAGAGAGAGAGAGAGAGAGAGAGAGAAAAGAGAGAGAGAGAGAGAATAATGATTAGTAGAGAGTACTCACCTCTATCAAACTGGTCCCCAATGATAATCAGAAGCGTAATGCAAGTGACCATGCAATACGCAAAGATGCACACCGAAGCCACAACATTCCAACGACGACCGCACATGTGTAAGATCAGCTGATTGAGTGTAAACAAAGCAGAAACGGATGAATAAAGGCGTATGACTGAGATTGAGAAATATGAATGCATTGGTTTAGGGTTTATCGGTGAATGAATGGATTAATAGCAGATAGGAATTAGATAGCTAGATTGGATAAACAATAGTTACTTGAATATCAGTATGTTATGTGCTTCCGTCCTATTAATAGCATTATTAGTAACTTTTTTTCTGTAGCAAAATTGATATTTTCGTTGGATATAAAATAATACTTGGAAAAAATATAGAAGTAAAAAATGTAAATATACGCAAAAATTATTCCACAATACGAGGCAATATCAACGAACACTGGACATCAAAATATCTATGACATAAAAACTATTCAATACCATTTATACGTTTTTTCTTTGACAATATAACTACGTACTCGCGAAATCTTACACTCAATAGATACAAACCTCTTGGTATGTGCTGCACTTTCGTTCAACTGCACAACTGGCGATTATGAGGAGGGAAATCAGAGCTAAAACCGTTACTACCTGGAAGAGAAAAGGGATATAATGAAAACGAAGATAAATGAATGATAAATAAATGAAAAGTATATCGAGAGAGAGAGAGAGAGAGAGAGAGAGAGAGAGAGAGAGAGAGAGAGAGAGAGAGAGAGAGAGAGAGAGAGAGAGAGAGAGAGAGAGAGAGAGAGAGCAAGAGAGAGAGAGAGAGCAAGAGAGAGAGAGAGAGAGAGAGAGAGTGATTTATTATGCTTTTCTTTTCTCTTTATTTTTTCCCATTCACATTAACGTTTAGCGTACATTGGGAT